GCCTGATGGATTTTCGGAGTTTCACATCTGTCCATATTCTAGCTATACAGGTACTCTAGGATGAAGGATGAAGGATGAAGCGTCATAGCTCTGTGCCCCGCTTTTCATAATTAATGCAAACAGGGGTTATTCATCAGCAACACAAGTAATTGGTTTAAAAAAAAGTGAAAGAAAAGTCAGTTTAAAAGAGAAAAATATCAAGAGGGTTGAACGTAGAAACAAAATTGAAGGGCTATCTTACACTTGAGGAGAAATTAGGAACAAAACTACCGCGCAAAGCGTTTCCTCGTCAGAGAAACCGGAGTCACGCATTTGAAAATAATTAAAAAAATACCGCGCTTAATTTGAATTTGCCGCGCAAAATAGGTTCCGCCATCTTTGTAGGGTCACCGGTGTGCGGACCCGAAGAGCATCATTTGATGCTTTTTCGGGTCATTCTTTTGGTCAAACGTTGGCCTCTATTCCGTCAGTTTGAACGACTCGATTATCCGACCCACATCAGAAAATTCGGGACAGACCAGATTCAAACTTTCTCAATGGCACTCTCATTTCTTCGATGAACAATAAGAAAGAACTTAAAAAACAAAATAAAAAAAAAAAAATCGACGCATCAGTCAAAAATAATTAAACTTAGAGATTTTATGGCTTAAATTTTCAAAACTCTGACCGACTGAAAATGACGATGCGATAGGTATCGCACGTCACACAGTGGACCGAGTCAATGAGAGAGGTCGGACAAGAATTTTTGTGCTAAAACTGCAACTTTAGATGTGGATTGCATTTTGAAAAAAGGAACCACGAGCATTGCAATGTTGCTAAGAGTGTGCGACTTCCTTTGTCTTGGAGGAAAAAACCTGATTACCCATTAACAGTTTCTATTTTACTCGCTGAAAACTGTGAATCTAAGACAAGAATTGCCATGTAAATTTCATATTTTTTCATGATTTCAGTTATTTCACTGCAGAGGATGAATTTGCTCAATCTTAGCATCATTGCAATGCTTCTGGTTCCCTTTTGCAAGATGCAATCCATGTTTATCTTAGGAGATTTTTAAGTTTGAGGGATGTATCCTCGAGTAAATTTTACGAGAAAACCAATCTATGTTTTGTAATGATACAGTTATGAGCTTTCAAAGTTTCCAAATTTTGTCCGACCTCTTCCATTAACTCGTTCCATTGCGCGCCAAAAACCCCGACGAATCACCTTAATGTTTCTACGGGGGCGCAGCAAATTCTCCCCTCTTAAGTCACCCTGCTGGGGTGCTGCGAATTCGAGTTTCCTAACGAGAGTTAAGTACTGGACCAGGCACGCGTACGGCAGTGGCGTGCGGTGGGTTTAGTGACAGGGCAAGCTCTAGCGTTCGCCATCCGGGGGGGGGGGGGGGGGGGGGGGGG